TCAATTTGCATCAAGTGAAAGAATACCCACATTGATGAGCTCACAGCATGAGGAAAGCCCTTTGCAGACCTTAAAAGGCTTTATACAATGTGGGCTGTTATCATTATTGACAGGCTGGAATGATGGGACTATAACAGGATGAAATTACACAAGTTGGGAGGGGGGGAAAGGAGATGTAGAGAGAAAACAGTTCATGTCAAAAGGACATGGGCTATCAGTGAGCTGCAAGCACAGTATGAGCTGATGAAATGACCTCCAGAAAAGCCAATTTCAATTCAGGTTGTGAAGTCCAGAACAGAGGAGGCTTTAGTTTTCTGTGTGACTAATGGGACAGACCACATAAGAAGTACTCTGTCCAGTTTTTGCTGCTACATCTTAAGAAGGATGTGACAAGTCGGAGAGGGACCAGAAGAGGGAAGTGAGGGGACTCAAAACCGTGTCATGTGAGGATCACTCAAAAATGTGTGTGGAGAAAGAAAAGAGGGGCAAAATATTATCAATAGCTTCAGGTATTCAAAGGTCTTAGATCTGATATATGGGTGCAGAGACCAGCACCACGACTAATGGACATGAATTCTATATGAGGCAGACACCAATATAAAAAACTTTCAAACAGCTGTCTAACAATGGACTAGGGCTATCCTTATTGATAATAAGCTCCCATTTCACTGCAGCTGTTCAAGCAGAGGCTGGCTGTTGTGGAGGGGCTTCCTGAATTAAATGAAAAGCTGACCTAGATGACCATTACAGTCCCACCTCCAAGAGTATGATTCCAGGACCAGAGTAGTGACCACTGGGGGATTCCCACATTTGAGTGAGGAAAGGAGAACCAGGACAATGTAGGGTCTCAAAAAAAGTGGGATGGGGGGAGAAGATGAGGACAGAAAAGATTTGGATTTGGAAAATTTGGAGGGAGCATTTTGATGGGAACAGAACCCAGATTTTTTGAGGGTTTCAGAAGCACATACTTTCCAACAATTTGGAAATTCAAGCCAATTTGGCAGGCATTGAATGACAAAGACTCAGAAAACAGTCCCTGCCCTCAAGGAGATTATATTCTTCATGTAAACAGATGAGTATATAGTTGTTAATGGCGGGGGGGGGGAATCATGAAAGGCATCCAATAGCACATCAAATAAGCCTACATAGGATAATTCAGCTGGGATGTAGCAGGATCGAGGGAAGATTTTTTTTTTTTTGCTAGGTGAGACTGGGTATGTTGGTCTGCTGAGGAGGAACCAGAGGGGAGGGAGAGACTAAAGCTGCTGGAAAGAAAGGTCCCTGGGGATGTTGGAGTAGTTGGGATCACAGGTACAGGTGGGAGGGTGAGAGTCCTGGCCATAAGAAGGGATGGCTACCTTTTCCTTAGGGACAGGAAGGAAGGAGGAAGGGATGGTGAATGCAGGGGAAGACTTCCACATGTGGGAAAGGGAACTCGGGAGAGATGACCAGGACTTTCTTTGTGTTGGAGGTAGTTCATTTTCCTGATGGGGCAAAGAGGGTGGGTTGGGGATTTGAGGAAAAACTGTGAGAATACCTGACAGAGTTTATTAGTTGAGTAAAAGACTTGCTGAGCAGCCAGCCAGCCCTTCTCTCCTCTCCTGGGTTGTTGGGCCCCCCTGCCTGTTCTATGTCTGTAAGGGAGTCTTTTTTGGATGGGTCAGGGAAGACTATAGCCTCAGTGGGAGGGATAGAACCCATTAGGGGCCAGGGGAATTCTGGGAGCATGGATCAGAGCAATAATTTCTAAGGCCAGACTGGAATCCTGAGGACAAACTAATCCGCTTAACTGGGCTATGGTCCAGAATGGTGGGAATGGCTTTGGGGGAAGGTGGAGGGCCCCCTCCAAATCCCCCTTGGGAATGGTGTTGGGAGGGGGAATGGAGGCCCTCCCCTCCAAATCCCCTTGGGAAATGGAGTGTGGGGGTGAAGGTAGAGCCTCCCCCCTTTAAAATCCTTCTTGGGAATGGTGCTAGTGGGAGATGGAGGCCTTCTTCTTAAGCTCTCCCTTCTAAATGGTGGTGAGGGAGAGAAGCCTTTGCCCCCCACTCTAAATTCACCCCTCCCCCATTGTCTGAGTCTGTATTATTAAAAATTTATGTAACACTTTATTATTACAAAGCATTTTCACAGATAGTACTTCATTTGATCCTGACAGCATTCCCCTAGGGTAGGCAGTAGAAGTGTTTATTGTCCCCATTTCACAGATTAAAAAAGAACTGAGGCTCAGAGCAGATTTGCCCATAATTGGGATGGGTAGTTGGTGGCAGAAGTAGAATCAGACTCGGGTCTTTTGCCTCTAAGTCCAACGACCCTTCCATTGCTCTCCATGACTCTAAAGGGATTCTGAGATTTCTGCTCCCCTGAGACCCCAGGGGCCCTCCCACATGCTGGTAGCTGGGTCTCAGGCTTTAATGACTGGGCTGGCTAACCAATGCCTATTTAATTAGACCTGGAAATTCTCCATTGTCCACCCCAGGCTCTGGGGTGCCATGCACCCGGTTCTTTAGGGGAGAATGATGTACAAGAAGGGGAAGGGCCACAGGCACTCTGGTGAAGGAGATAAATTCAGGAAGAATGAAGATTTGGGGGCCTAGGTCCTGAGGGGGAAAAGCAAGAGATGCAAGGAGGCCAATTAGGGCTTAGATACCTGGGTCCCCCCTCCCCACAAGCCAGAGGAGCTGGGGGAGCCAGGCTGTCTGGGGGAGCTGCCCAGGCCTGTGGGGCCTGCCCTGTCCCAGGGAACAAGCCCCCAGGGGAGGGTTGGGGCTTCAATTAACTGGGCATCATGGGTGGAACCCCAGCAGGAGGCACCCAGCTGCCCTGCCATGCAGCTAGCTCTGGGCTGGGTGTACCAGTCAGGTTAGTGTGGGGGTGGGAGGGCTGAGTGCTTGGGTCCTGGGAAGGGAGCAGTTCCAGGGTGGGGGGTCAGCACTTAGGTCCTTTTCTCTTTCACATAATGATACACCCCTCTGCCTGCACTCCATCCTGTTTCCCCAGCTTTGTTCACAAGATCCAACTGCTAGACTGCTGCCACTAATGTCCAGCATCCAATAGGAAGAGACCCCACAAGGAGAGGCTGAGGGGACAAAGGGCAGAAATTGATGTTCCAGGCTTTACCTAAGGCAGAAGATGCCATCTCACTTTCCTGTTGTTCACAGAATCATAGATCTAGAGTTGGAAGAGACTTTGGAAGTCATCTGGTCCAACCTTTTCATTTTGTAGATAAGGAACTGAGGCCAAGAGTGATTAAGTGACTTGTCCACAGTCACAAAGTGAACAAATGAGCTGAAATTTGAACCCAGGTCTTCTGGACTGCAAGTCCAACATTATCCACTATAACCAGGGCTTCTTAAACTTTTCCCACTCTTGACCCCTTCAGCGATTCTTAGCGATTTTGAACCCAGATCTTCTGGACTCCACCAACACTTTATCCACCATAACAGACTGCCTCTAGGGAAAACTCCTTAGGAAACAGCACCATTTGTAGGTCCTTGGCCCAGGACTCCTGTGTGGTTCTTCAGCAGAGCCACCTGGGGCTGGGAGCAGGGTCCTGGGACTCCCCAATTCCAGAAGCCCTTCTTTAAGGCAGGCTTTTCCACTTCTCCCTCCAAAGCTTTCTCCACTGGGCTCCCAGCTAGGTCTAAGGGACTGAATCCAGTAGCTGTCTGGGCAGCCTTTACACCTGAGTCCAGAGGGTCTGAATCTGTGTATCTGAATCTATGTGTCCATGAAGATATTGTGTCACACACATGTGGATGTACAGAGCTGCAGTTTTATGAGATGCTATGTTCATACACGCGCTGGTGCCTACGCACCAGTTTGTCCTTTGTTGCTGAAAAGGTCATGGGAATCATTGTTAGTCATCACGTGAAAAATGAGCACATAGGTATGACTATTGGCAGCTACATGCCAGTCTCCCAGCTCCAGGACATACATAGACAGGTAGAGGCCTGGCAGACTTAACTCCATTTAACTCCCCACAGTCTACTTCAACATGGATTTGCCTGACACACAGAATCAGAGCCCTGGAAAGGACCAAGGACCAGGGACTGTGGAGTCCAAACTCCTTACTTTACAGATGAAGAATGCAGGGGCAGGGGGAATGGACTTATCCAAGGTCACTGAGAAAGTTAGAATCAGACCCAGGCTAGAAGCCAGGCCTCCTGACTTTCATCCCAGACCTCCTTGGATCACACACCCCATCTACACACAAACATATCTCCCGTGCACAGAGATACAACATAGGTCCCCTCCCCTATACAGAGACACACCCCTTCCACGCACACACGTCTCCCTCCCAAATTCACTCTGAGCCAGGCATACACCCTTCTCATGTACACACAAATCCAGCCCGCCCGGGTCTCATCTGTGTCCACACCTGCCTCCCCGCGCAGACACATCCACACACTGGAACAACGCAAGCCCCAACACACCCCGATACCCATCCCCACCTGCCTGCTTGTCGTGCACCCACCCACGAACAGGCGGCCGGGCGCAGAACCAGCGGACAGACAGGCCTTCTTTGTGTGCGGAGTTCAGGTGCGCCCAGGAACTGCACAATGGAGGCCTGTCTGTCAGTCTGTCTGAGGCTTAACCGCCGGGGGAGGGGGTAAGGGGGGGCAGGAAGGCGGTGCCTCCCGGGGGTGTCCAGGAACCAGAAAGAACCACCCCTCATCCACACCCCCCTCTTCCCGCCACCGCTACACTGCACCCCAAGACGAGGGGAGACCCAGATGATTCCCCTCGTAGACACGCCCCCATCAGACACCGACTGGGACATCCCCGCGAGCCTCTGCGCCCCGCGTCGGTCCCTGAGCTCGGCACCTATACCCCGGTGGCCTAGGTCTCCTCGGGATCTGGAAAGAGGGGGCTCGGCCGCCTGGGTCCGGGAGAGGGCGCGGGCGGGGGGCGGGGCGTACCTGAGGCCCGGCCCCCGGGGCGGGGCGGCGGCGGCCGCGGCGGGGCGGAGAGGGGGAGGGTTGTGGGGGGACGCTGCTGCACCTGGAGCCCGGAGCCCGGCAGCTGCGGCGGCAGCGGCAGCGGTGGCTCGGCCCGGTGCTAGCCCAGCCGAGGGGAGCCAAGGCCGGTCCGGCGTGGCCGGGCCAGACCAGACAGCGCATCCCCGGCGCCGACATGGTGGAGGCGGCGCCCGCCGGCCCCGGGCCGCTGCGGAAAACCTTCCTGGTGCCCGAGATCAAGCCCCTGGATCAGTACGACTTCCCGCGGGCCAAGACGGCCGCCAGCCTGGCCTGGGTGCTGCGGGCCGCCTTCGGGGGCGCAGGTAGCGCGGGCCGCCGGGGCGGGGGGGTGGCGGCCGGCCGGGGCCGGGGCGCGGCAGGTGCGGGGGGCGGGGCTCTGGCTCCGGACCCCGCGGGGAAACGCCGGGGCCCCCGGGGAACAATGGCCGGTCTGGGGAGGGTGATGCGGGGCGGCCGCCGTCTCCCAGCCGCCGCCGCCGCCGCCTGCTTTGTGCGCTCTGGCCGCCGCCTCTGCTCGGGGGGAGGGGCAGGGGACTCCTGGGTTCCCGGGGGCTCGGGGCCTCCTTCTCCGCCTCTTCGTCCTCCTCCTCTCCCTTCCCTCTCCCCGGCCGCGTCCCCTCCCCCTGCTCCCTCTCTATCTTCTTGGACTTTGCCTCCCCCGCCTGCGGCTAGAGCTGGGGCCAGGGAGGGGTTGGGGTGGAAGGAACCGGCCGTCCACCCTCCCAGGATCCAGGTGTTCGAGCCCCTGGCTCCTTATCCAGGACCCAAGTGTCTTATAATCCCGGCCACTCTACTTAGCATCTAGGTGTCTGAGTACCCCTTCCCACGCCACCCAACCCCACCCTTCCCTAAACCATCCTATCCAGGCCCTAGCCTTGGGAGAGTGAGGCCAAGATTCTTGTCTTATTGCCTCCTCTGGGCCGTTCTGTCTTGTCCACCCCCCCCCTTTTATTTCAATCTAGTGTGGGGGCTTACTGGCACCTAGTATGGGAATGTACCCAACCAGGTGGCCTAGCAAGGATTGGACTTGGTACCCTATGGGTGTCCTTAACTAGCCAGGGGCCTAGCCTTCCATCTCAACGTGCTGACCCACATGGGACCCAGCCCCTTACTCATTCACCCAACTGCCCCCAGCCTCTCGGGAGGCAGGCCTGGTTTCTTTAGCTGAAGCCTTAACTCCTCCCCAGCCTCAGCTGCCCCTGGGAATACCCTCCTCTCCGAGGGTGGAGCTGGGAGCCCAACATTTTCACCTCCTCATGGCTGCCTGGGAGGGGAGGTGACCAGGGTTAATTAAACGTAGGCCTTTAAAAGCTCCATGGATGGGAGAGAGCCAGTGATCAGAGCAGGCATCATCCTTCCCATCAAAGCCAAGGAATATTCCCCCCCAGGAGCTGCCCCAGCCCAGCCCAACCTGTTCTGTGGGTGTTTGAGAGAGGGACACACACTGCTGGTATGGATGGGATGGAATCCCAGCCCTTGTGTCCTCCCTCATCTTTCTCCCTCCACAGCTTGTTTACACATAAAATCCCTTTGCCCCTTCCCTGCCTAGGCTCTTCTCAAAGGAAGAGGAGGCACCTTCCAGGAACCCCAGGGTCTTGACTCCTAGGTTAAGCTCTTTCCTGGTTATCTGACCTCTAACCAGGTCTGCTCTGCTCAAAGGAGTGAGGACAGCCTCCTAATCTGAGAACACAGATAAGGTGGAATGGAAACAGCCCTGAAATGAGTCAGGGACCTGAGGTCTAGTCCAGCCTGTGTCACTAATTTGCTGTGTGACCTTGGACTGGTCCCTGACCCTCTCTGTACCTCAGTATCTCTATTTGTAAAAATGAGGGGGTTAGTCTCTAGGACCTCTGGGGGCCCTTTCCTCTCTGAAAGTCTATGGTTCTGTGGGAGTTCTGAAACATAGAACTCAGGGGAGAAAGTCCTTGGCTGTGAAGTAACTACAGTGGGGTGGGAGTCAGGGGACTTGGGTTTGAGTTCATATTGTTCTCTGGATCAAATGAAAGAAAGCACATAATGCATTTTGGATTTGTAAGTTTGCACTATCTCGAGAGACTGTGTGGGCAGGGGCCAGAGATGGGCAGGCAAGGAAACCTGGGTTCTGTTGATCCTTGGAAACAGAGACAGCAATGACTGGAATCCATGCTGGCTAAGCCCTGGAGGCTGCTGAGTCAGGAGAAATGTGGTTTTCAATCCTGCCTCTGACACTGTGTAACCATGGGCAAGTCACTTAGCTTCTCTGAACCTCAGTTTCCTCATCTGTAAAAGGGGGGTGGTGGTAATTATACCTCTAGTCCTTACCTTAGAAAATTGTTGTGAAGATTGAATGAGATAATGCATGGATTCCCAGAGGCTTTTCTCCAACCAGTCTGTTTCCTCTCACCTCTCTCCCAGACATTCAAGTATCACCCGTCTGTCTGTCTTGGGTCTTAGCTTCATTGACCACTTCTCTGCAAGTGACTCTCAAATCTTGCAGACACTTGCAGCTGTCTCCTCTCTTCTGAGATCCCAAGATCTCAAGAGACTTCCAGGCCATTCCTACCTGGTTGTCCAAGGGATTGTTGTGAGATCTCAATCTTAGCATGCCTCAAAGTGAGCTATGTCATCTTTTCTCTTAAAGCTGCTTGTCCCCTTGACTTCACTATTTCTGGCAGTAGCAACAACATTTACCCAGTCACCCATGTTCCAAACCTTAGGATTATTTTCGACTTTTCTCTTTCCCCTACCCCTCCCATTAGTTACCAAAACATGGCTCATGGGTGAGTCCCCTTACTATTAATAATGACAGGGGGGATATTGTCAAAGCCTGTTTGGTCTTTCTGTCTCTAGTTTCTCCTATAAGCACAAAGTTTATGTAATTCCTCTGCTCTCACATCCTCAGAGGCTCCCTATTGCCTTCAGAATTAAAGGTATGTTCCCTTGGGGCCTGGTGTTCGAGGCTCTCCACAATCTGGCTCCAATCAACCTTTCTTGTTGTATTTCCTACTATTCCCCTCTGTGTGTTCTGGGTCTCTGCCAAATTGGACGGCTGCTAGCAGTTCCTCAATCTCATCTCCCTCTCTTTGTCCTTTCTATATGCTTGGAATCTTTATCTTTATCTGTGCCTCTGGAAGCCTTACAGAACCTAGCTTAGGAGTCACCCCTTCTTCAGACTTCTACCCCAGCCCAGCTGAAAGGGTTCTCTGCCTCCTCTGATTTTCCTGGATCACTTCTGAATCTCTGTGCTATGTCCCTGTTGTTCTTGTTCAATCAATTCAATCATGTCTGATGCCATTTGGGTTTTTTTTTCTATTTGGGTTTTGTTGTTTTTCTTTTTTTTTGCAAAGATACTAGAGTGGTTTGCCATTTCCTTCTCCAGCTCATTTGACAGGTGAGGAAACTGAGGCAAACAGAATTTAGTGACTTGCCTAGGGTCACACAGCCAGTAAGTGTCTGAGTCCGGATTTGAACTCAGGAAGATGAGTCTTCCTGACTCCAGGCCCGGTATTCTATCCACTGAGCCACTAGCTGCCATGCCCTTATCCTTAGAGGTTTCCAAAACTCTTTCCACATGTTCACATTTGTGTCTCAAAACAAGTTAGGAAGACAGAAACAGTGGGCATTTTCTTCCCCTTTTTATATGAGAGGAGACTGGGAGTCAGAGAGGCTGGTGTGAGAGGCAGGGTATAAGATCCAACATTGTTTCCAGTGCCCTCCTCAACTTGAGCAGTTTATTGTCCTGAGTAGAATGTAGACTCCTTGAGGCCTGGGGCCAGAGCACAGACCTTTTGCATGTCTAGCACCAAGCACAGGGCCTGTTACCGAGTAGGTGCTTTTAAAAAGCTTGAATTTGGTTAGCTCTTCGAGGTACATGAACATGCTCTGTAAACTTGGTTCCATCAGCAAATGCTTATCAAGCACCTACTGTGTGCCTAGCATATGGCCAGACATTGGGGAAGTGCCAGCGAAAGCCACTTCCTGCTCTCACAGAGTTTAAATCCAGCCTCAGACACTCAGTAACTGTGTGAACCTGGGAAATCATTTAACCTGCGCCTCAGTTTCCTCATCTGTAAAATGGGGATGATAATAACACTTATCTCCCAGGATTGTTGTTGAAGCTCAGATGAGATAATATTTGTAAAGCATCTTGCAAGCCTTAATGTGCTATATAAAAGCACATCATTACAGGGGTTAAGGGACACATGCAAATGTCTAATAATTCATGGCTGGATACAATCAGTTCAACAAGTCAAGTAAACAAGAATTTTTTTTGGTTTTGTTTTTCGGATGAGGCAATTGGGGTTAAGTGACTTGCCTAGGGACAATAGCTAGTAAGTGTCAAGTGTCTGAGGTCACATTTGAACTCAGGTCCTCCTGACTCCAAGGGCAAGACTCTATCCGCTGTGCCACTTAGCTGCCCCTGTCAACAAGCATTTTAAGAGTACCTACTATGTATACTAAGCTCTGGAGATACAAAGAAAGGAAAAACAGTGCCTTCCCTCAAGGAGCTCACAGCCTAATGGGGGAGACCACATGCAAATCACCATGTATGTACAAGATATCTACAGAGCAGATTGAAAGTATGTAGAGGGGCAGCTAGGTGGCTCAGTGGCTAGAGCACTGGCCCTGAAGTCAGGAGGACCTGAGTTCAAATGCAGCCTCAAACCAAACATGTAACACTAGCTGTGTGACCTGGGTAAGTCACTTAACCCCCATTGCCTTAAAAAAAAAGGAAAGTATTATAGAGGGGAAGGGGGGTGTTCAGGGTAATAGGACTAGGAAAGGCATCTTGCAAAAGGTGGGATTTAATCTGTCTTAATGGAAGCTGGGGAAGCTAGGAGTCAGACGTGAGGAGAGTACTCCAGGCAAGAGGAATTGTCAGTGAAAAGGAAGAGAGTTGGAAGATGGGAATGTTACCTATGAGGAATGGTGAGGGGTCAAGTTTGTTAGATCTGAGGGTCTGCGGAGGGGAGTGAAATGTAAGAAGACCAGAAAGTTAGCAAGGGCCCAATCTGTGAAGGATTAAATGTCTGAAGTTCTTACATTTGATCCCAGAGGCAACAGGGACCCAGTAGACGTTATTGGGGGGGTGGGCAGGTGGTGGTGAGGTGATCAGCTTGCACTTTGGAGAGACCAGTTTGACAGCCCAGTGGAGGATGGACTGGAATGGAGAGAAGCTTGAGGTAGGGCGACCAAGCAGCAGGCTGCTGCAGTCATTCAGGTTGGAGGTGATCAGGGCCAGCAGCAGGGTGGTGAGAGTGTCAGAGGACAGAGGGGAGCATATGTGAGACGTTACGAAGGTCAAATCGATAGATTGGCTGTGGAGGGTAAGGAAGGGTGGGGAGTCATGGATGACCAAGGTTAGGAGCCTGGGGGTGCCCTGGATGGGGGAAGGGCTTAGGGAGAAAGCTTTCAACAACAAGAAAATAGAATGTGTCTCTGCATGTGTTTTCCCCCCTTTGACAGGACGTAAGTTCCTTGTGGGCAGGCCCTGTTTTTTTTTTCATTTGAGCTTCCATAGTACACAATAAATGCTTGTTGAATTCAGCTGAGGTCAGAGGAGGGCGGCTCTCTGACTTGGGGGGAACCCCGGACAGGAGGTAGCATCAGAGCTGGGCCTTCAGCAGGTGGAGATGAGCAGGGCAGGGTAGACAGAGTCCTTAGCAAGGGGGGAGGGTTTGAACAAAGACTTAGAAGCATTAAGGTCAATACAGGGTGGGACCTAGAGCCAGGAAGACCTGAGTTCAAATGATGCCTCAGATACTTACTAGCTGTGTGACCCTAGACAAGTCATTTAACCTTTCTTTACCTCAGTTTCCTCATCTGTAAAATGGGGATAATAATGGCACCTACCTCTCAGGGTTGTTGTGAGGATCAAGCAAGATAACATATGGAAAGTGCTTTATGGACCTTAAAGTACTATCTTTTTTTTCCCCCCAGACAATCCAGGTTAAGTGACTTGCCCAGGGTCACACAGCTAGTGAGTATCATGTGTCTGAGGTGCATTTGAACTCAGGTCCTCCTGACTCCAGGGCCTGTATCCTATCCATTGTGCCACCAAGCTGCCCCATAAAATACTGTTATTTATGTTAGCTAGTATTAAGCAGGAAGACACTGGGGTATGTTCAGGGGAGAAGGTCAGTCATCCAGTCCTGTTTATGTAGAGTATGGAGTAAGTCAAGTCAGCAGACATTTCCTAAGCACCTACTCTGTGCAGGGCTCTGTGCTAGGGACACAAAGAAAGGCAGAAGAGAGTCCCTGTCCTCAGGGTGCTCACAGTCTGATGGTGGTGACAACGTGCAAACAGCTGTGTACAGACAGGACCAGGCTTAGGAGATGGGGTGGGAAAAGGCTTCTTGCCGAAGGTGGGATTCTAGCTGGGACTTTGGAGAAAGCCAGGAGGGGATGAGGAGGGAGCGAACCCAAAGCATGGGGGACAGCCAGAGAAAATGCCCAGATTTGGGAGATGGAACATCTTGTAAGAAGTGGAGCAAGGAAGTCAGAGTCACTGATCAAAGAATACGTGGCAGGGGGTGGGGGAGGAGGCATGTGCTATGAGGCAAGAGAAGACAGGAAAGGTAGGAGCGGGTCAGGTTATTAAGGGCTTTAATAGCCAATCAGAGGCTTTATATTGGATCCTGGAGGTCATGTAGGGGGCCACTGGAGTTTATCCAGTATGGGGGTGATATGGTTGAACTGTTTCTTTGGAAAGACATCTTAACTTCAACAGGTCCAAAACTGAACATGAGTTAATGGTAGCCTCTCCCCAAACCTTGCCCACCCCCCTTCTAAAGCCCTTATTACTGTCAAAGGCACCACCACTTTCGTGGTCACCATCCGCAGCTCCATACTCTGTCCAATCCCTTGCATCCAATCTGTTGCCAGATTGTGTCCCTTTGACCTCTGTGACTTCTCTCCTATATCTCTCCTCTGACACTGCCACCAATCTGGGCAGGCCCCTATCACCTCATGCCTGCTGGGGTCTTCCTGTCTCAACTCTCTCCCCACTCCAGTCCTCGGAGCTGCATGAGGGCCAGAACCATTTCTTATCCAAACTCTGTGTCTTCCTTGGCTCTAAGCGAGGTGTCCTGCATACACACAGTCAGTACTTGTTGTACGAATAATAATCCACGCTATTACAGGGCTTTCCAAAGCATATCCTTCAAAACTACCTTTTGAGGTTGGAGTAGTATTTCCCTCATTTCATAAATGAGGAAACTGAGGCAGACAGAGGTGAAGTGAGGGCAAGGGGATGTGCTTGAATTCACAGAGGCTAACTATGGGGAAGGTTATTTTCACCCTGGTTTTTTTTTTTTTTTTTTTTGCTTAGGCGATTGGGGTTAAGTGACTTGCCCAGGGTCACATAGCTAGTCAGTGTCAAGTGTTTGAAGGTGGATTTGAACTCGGGTTCTCCTGACTCCAAGGTCAGAGCTCTATCCACTTCACCACCTCGCTGCCCCCTACCCCTGTTTTAACAGAAGAGGAAACTTAACCCCGGTTCACATAACTAGTAAGTGTCAGGCTCTGGATTTGAACCTAGGTCTTTCCAGTTCCAAATCCAGCCTCTCCCCACCATCCATGCTGAACGAATGAGCAAATGTTGAAGCTGGGATTCCTTTCCACAGTGACAGGCTGCAAGAATAAATGAAGCAGCAGCTAAGCCTGGAAGGCTAAGATGATACCAGGCTGTATAAAGAAGGCTTTGAAGAGTTTGGGCTTTATCTTTTGCCAGGAATAATGATAATATTAATAATAACAACAGTGGGCATGTATAGGTGCACATTTGATCCTCACAACAACCCTGGGTGGCAGGTGCTGGTATTAATTTTACAGATGAGGAAACTGAGGTAGACAGCAGTTAAGAGACTGCTCCTCCCAATGGGTAAGACCTGGGTTCGAATCCAGACTCTGATGCTGTGTAAGGAGCAGGAGGGGGCCAGGATCTCATATGATTCTTACTACAGCCCTTCGAGGGAGGGAAAAGAGGCTGAGGAAGGCTAGTGGTTTCCCTGAGGTTATTTAGTAGAGCTCTGTAGTTTTATATGTGTGTGTGTGCGTGTGTGCATGCATATACATATACATACACATACCTATATATGTCTACACATACACATATTAGTAAATTCAAGGCTTTCTCTACTCCCCCCTCCCCCGCCTCCAGCCTCCTCTTGAGTCCAGACCTCATCGGCCTCTGCCAAGGTTGTTAATTATTGCAACAGCCTCTTAACCAAACCCTCTCCCTTTCGTTCTTCCTGGCTTCTTCTCGGGCTTGGTGCAGGGCCACTTCTACTTCCCTGTTCCCTGCTTAGAGCAGCTTCAGTGCCCTGGCCTGGGTTTGGCCCAGATACCAAAGGAGTGAGACCTCAAAGGCTGGGGAAACCTGTCCTTGCTTCTCCTACCACACCTCGGCTCAACTTGCAACCCTTGTCCTTCCTGTCCTCTCCTTGGGAATTCTCATCTCTGGATTCCTCCTCCAGGAAGTCCTCCAAGACTGACCGTGCCGCTCGGCAGGCCTCTGCGGAGTCCCCTGTGCGTGGGGCAGGAGAGGAAGTTCTGGGTCAAGGCCACGGTCACCGATTGTGTCTCTTCCTGCAGAACATGTGCCTCCGGAGCTGTGGGAGCCTTTCTACACAGACCAGTACGCCCAGGAGCATGTGAAGCCTCCAGTGACGCGGCTGCTTCTCTCGGCCGAGCTGTACTGCCGGGCCTGGCGGCTCGCACTGCCCCAGCTAGAGGCCCCGCCCGGTCCTGCCGCCCTCTTAACGATGTTGGCCCGCCGGGGTCTGACCCCGACACTGCCCGATCGGCCCGTGCGGGAGGCTGACCTGCGATACCAGCCCATCCTGATGGTGAGGCTCTGAATGCTCCCCCTTGTCACCTCCTGTGAGCTGCTGGGAGGGGGCAGCAGCTGCTTCTTCCCGACGCCCCATCGGTCTCTCTTTTCTTCAGGGTGCCCACTTGGCTGTGATTGATGCCCTCATGACAGCCTTTGCCTCAGAGTGGACTGCATCCCTACCTGTCCCCGCAGTCCCCGGCAGCTGGGAACACAAGCTCCTTCTCTGGGTGGACTCGGTAGGTGGAGGAGGCTGTGGGCATGGGGGCAGGGGGATTACTGCAATGACTTGGAGAGCCTGCTGGGGTGTCCCCAGCCAGAACTGAGGTCTGAGGGTCCCTCGCTGATCCTCTCAGGCCCTTAAACGGTCCTCCTTAGAACCAAGGCCTCTCACTGACCCTCTCACTGACCTTTCTTGACCCTCCCAGACCATGCGGCGACTCCAGGAGATGACAGAGCGAGAGGCAGCTCAGAGAACCCCCGTGTCCCCAGCAGACAGTGCTGCCCAGCCCTCGGTGAGGCCTGGCAGGTGGGGTGGGAGTAGGTGGGTGGGGTCTGGGGAGTCTGGACCCTGAAGTCCTGGGGCCAGGCTGTCCCTCTGCCTCATCTTTGGGGCTAGGGCTGGGGCAATGCAGGGCTGGGGTGTGACTTTCTCTGTATCTCTCTGTCTCTGTCCCTGCACTGCTGCATTCTCCTCCTCTCTGCCCCTCTCTGCGCCTCAGTGTCCCACCCGCTGGTACTGGAAGCTCGTTCCCGTAAGTGGGTGCGCCTGGCCCCCAGCTCCATTCTGTCCCTGCACCCTGACCTGTGAACAGAGGATCTGCGGCCCTGGGGAGGTGGAAGGGGAGCATCCTCTGGTGGGGATCGGGGTAGGGAGAACTGGAAACTCGTCCCCCAAGAAAGAAGTCAGAGTGTCTCAGATCCTCTGTTCACATTGGCCTCCGCAGCCCTGAGGGCCCCCTGGGGGAGGTGTCCTGCTGCATGTCTGCCCTGCCTGCTTCTCCTGGGGTCCCTCTGTCTCCACCCCAAGGTGCCAGAGCTGGGGGGTGTCAACAGGTCTCACTGAGGCCCAGACCTTGCAAATGGCTCAGGGCTGACTGGAGGACAGGTCTCTTACTTGTCTCTAAGGTCTGAGCCGGGGGCTGAGGGAACCCCAGAGAAGAGAGGGAGAGGCCAGAAACCCCAAAGGCAGATTAAGGAATGGGGCTCCCCTCCTAGGAATGACCGTGGTGATCTGATAATGAACCCTCAAGGATGTCCCAGGGTGTGGGGGCTGGTTCAGGGGTCGGGGAGCCCTCAGCAGACAGGATGAGTTTAGGGTCCCCCTCCCCCCCGGCCTGAAGCCTGTGTCCCGCTGCGGCCCCCGCGCTGACGCCCCCTCCTCTCCGCCCCCTCAGCACGCCGTTGCCTTCTGTTTGAAGGAGTCAGGGAGCAAACCCCCTGTGGTAACGTATCTCCAACCTCTGTCCTTCCTGCTTTTTGCTCCCCCTGGTCACTGCCCTCCTTCCCCACCAGGCCAGGCTGGGCCGGCTCCCCCAGCTGTCCAGAGCTTGAGGGCCCCTCCTGCTCTGCGCTCGCTCCTCCTCGCTCTTGGGGCCCCTCAGTCCCCCTCTCTGCTGCATGTTGCTCCCTCTACCCCAGAGCCTCAAGGACTCACGCACCTGGCCTCCCTGCACCGGCTGCATGCTCTTTGGCTCTGGCCCGTCCGCAACCTCTGACCTCTGACCTCTTCCTTTCACCCCACAGATCCGGTACCGAAAGGACCGGGCCGTGGCCCGCAGGGCCCCCTGTTTTCCCGTAGTGTCGGGTCTCCAGGACCTGGCCAGCGGAGCTGCCCTAGCTGCCATCATCCACTGCTACTGCCCCCAGCTGCTGAGGCTTGAGGGTAAGTGGGCAGGGCTCCATGCCTTGGGCCCAGGGTTGGGAGGGGGCCCAGGCATCTCCCAGTCAATCAGCAAGGATTTACTACGCGCCTCCTCGGGGCAGCTATGTGGTGCAGTAGATAGAGTGCAAGGCCTGGAGTTGTGAAAACTCATCTTCCTGAGTTCCAATCTGGCCTCAGACACTTACTAGCTGTGTGACCCTGGGAAAGTCACTCCACCCTGTTTGCCTCAGTTTCCTTATCTGTCAAATGAACTGGAGAAGGAAATGGCAAACCACTCCAGGATCTTTGCCAGGAAAACCCCAAATGGGGTCACAAAGAGTCAGACACAACTGAAACAATTGAACAAAAGTGCCTCCTGTATGCCAGGCAAAGTGCTAGAGATACCAAGAAAAAAAGTAATAGTCCCTGGCCTCAAGAAGCTTACATTCTATCGGGGAGACAGTGTGTGTGTGTGTGTGTGTGTGTGTGTGTGTGCTTGTGTATATACATACATACACAGACACACATATCTATATAAATGAAGAGAGACAGACAGACAGACAGACAGAATGAACAAATACCAGCTGAACAGAAGGCTCTTTGGCAGGCGCTGGGGCCGGGGGACAGAAGGCGAACTCTTCATCTGAGCCCCGTGGCCCAGGTACCCTGGGAATCAGGTGTTCCTTCCTGTCTTTCTACAGATGTATGCCTGAAGGACACCATGTCTGTGGCAGACAGTCTATACAACCTGCAACTGGTCCAGGACTTCTGTGCTGCCCGCTTGCCAGGGGGCTGCCCTTTGGCTCTGGAGGACTTACTCTATGTGCCCCCCCTCCTCAAGGTGACCTGGCATCCAGGACCCCACGGGAGCCCTGCAGGCTAAGCTGGGATCCGGAGAAGAGGGATAAGGATTCCTGGGTCCCTGGGGGAGCCACAGAGGGACAGCAACAGCGGCATCATGACCCCTCCCCCTCAGCCTGTCTCTCCCTGCCGGTCCCCACCCCAAGAACATCCAGAGAAGGGCTGCTAGGATGTAAGGGGCTTGGAGATCAAGTCAGTGAGGTGGATGGAACTAGAGATAGTTATCCTGGAGCTGAGATGGCCGGTGGGGGGAGGGGAGGCTGGATGGATATGAGAGCTGGCTTTAGTACTGAAGGGCTCAAAAAGGGCTTGGTCTTGAAATGCCTGGCCCTCGAAGGTCAGAACTGGGAGGAAAGGGAGAAAATTGTAGAGGGGCTCATTGAGGCTCAGGAGGAACAACTTGGTAGGAATGAGAGCCCTCCATAAGTGGAGGAACAGGTTGCCTTGAGAGGTAGTGAGCGCCCTGTCACGGGAGTGTCTCATGACCACCTGCAGGGCTTGTTGTGGAGGAGATTTTCGTTGCCTTTTCCAGTTCTTGACTTGCATGTCTCTCGGTCCCCAGACTAATGTGGCTGTGCTGCTAGCCGAGCTGTTTCTGTGCTTTGAAGTGTTGAAGCCAGACTTTGTGAGGCCCAAGGAACTGCCAGATGGGCGAGGTGAGGCTGGAGTGAGGACTGGGACACGGAAGCAGAGTGGGGAGGTGTGGGAGGGCCTCGAGAGCTGCTGTGATGTGGCTGGGTGGCCCAGTGGCTACAGCGTTGGACCTGGAGTCAGAAAGACCTAACTTCAAATCCCGTCTCAGAGACCCCCTATCTGTATGACCCCTGGGCAAGTTCCTTAAGCTTTTTGCCTCAGTTTCCTCATTTGTAAAATGAGGATGATAATAATAGCACCTGCTGCAGCGTTGTTGGGAGGATAAAATGAAGCTCTCTGCAAACCTTTAAGTACTGCATAAATGCTAGCTACTGTTGTTAGGTGAGGCCAGGGCACTGAGGCATCTGAGTAGGGAGGGTGAACTATGTGGGAGTGCTTCGTAGAGTGAGGCCAGGGCTTAGGCTGGGGCTGCTTGTCCTCTCTGGGCTGTGGCCCCATCTGCCTTCACCTCTGCCCTAGGTTCCTCTCCTGGGGTCAGTGAAGCCTCTACCCCACCGAGCGGCAACGGAGCCAGGTACGGCCTCCTCCCCACCCCAGATCCCTGGGGCTCCTCGGCTCCATCCCTTCCCTCCTCCTGTCCTGCCCCCTGTTCTGCTCCCCTCCCCCTCAGCCACTGGATTCCCCTTGGAGGCTTGGGGCAGAGCCCACAGGTCCTGTTGCTCTGGGTTTGGGGGATGGTGGGGACAGGGACATGGGTTGATTGCGTTTCCTTCTCACCTACAGCTCCCCTGTTTTCAATTTCCGGCACCCACTTCTGTCTCCTGGGGGGCCGCAGTCGCCCCTCCGTAGCTCATCAGGTGAGGAGCAAGGGGGGGGTGGGAGGAGAGGGGTCAACCTGGCTTCTGTTCCCCTGCCCCTCCCGCATTGTTCCTCAGTCCCAGTGAAGTAGCCAGAGCTGACCTCTGACTCCCCACAGGTTCCTTGCAGTCATCACCCTCCATGACCCACATAGAGGCTTTCGGAAAGGCATGGAACCGGCAGCTCAGGTGAGGAGTCAGAGTGAAGAGGCCTGGGAGTAGGCCTAGGAGCAGGGTTGGGTGGCAGCTTAGGCCCAGAGGGGAGAGGGTGTGGAGGAACAGAGGTCAGGTGCCTAGTTCTTTAGCCCCTTGTCCTTTACTCTGTAGAGCCCCAATTTTCCTTCTCCATCTATTGGTGGTCAATGGGTCACAGCCTTCCTCAGGCCTGTCAGGTCCCTCAGTAGTGACCAGTTTCCCACCAGTCTGAATACTGACCAGACTGTAATGATAGTCACCTGGTCTTAATAAATAATGGGCCTTTTGGGAAGTCCACTGGTTGTGCAAGGCCTCATTCTGTCCCATGTCTGTGGGCTCCTTAGCTGCCCCTGCCCCTGGTTGTGCTGACTCACTTGAGGGTCCAGTAGTGTTTGATGTCCATCTTTTGGTCAGTTTCTGGTGCCCTAGTAGCTCTATCTGACATCTCTGGCCCAGCACTCAAAGGATGGGTGTAGGCTTCAGGCCTACCGCCAAGTCCTGAGAACCTCTGAGAGCAGGGTTGGGGGAGGTACCCTGGCCAAGGGCTAGAGCCAGACATTGGAGAGGGAGTGACTGGGGGGCTGTGGGGTGGGCCAGGGGTTCAAGGCTGGAGTCTTAGCCCCCGTCTGGCCCTCCCCAGCCGCCCCCTGTCCCAGGCTGTATCCTTCAGCACTCCCTTTGGCTTGGACAGCGACGTGGACGTGGTCATGGGTGACCCAGTACTGTTACGCTCTGCCAGTTCCGATAGCCTGGGTCCCCCAAGGGTTTCAGCGTCGCAGCCTCCCCCAGAGCCAGCCCCGGAGCCCGGGGACCTCCCCACCATAGAAGAAGCCCTGCAGATCATCCATAGCGCTGAGCCCCGCCTGCTCCCAGATGGTGCTGCTGATGGTGGCTTCTATCTCCATTCCCCTGAGGGACCCTCAAAACCTACCCTGTCTTCATCCTACCCATCTGAGACCTCAAAATCTCTTGCTTACTACCCCCATCCTGAGGGGCCCTCCAAAGCCTCAAAACCACCCTTGGCTTCACCCTACCCATCTGGAGAGGCCTCTAAACCAGTCCCACCTGAGGGGCCCCCAGCAACACCTACCCAATCTGAAGTGCGTATGACAAGCTTTGCAGAAAGGAAGAAGCAGCTGGTGAAGCCAGAAGGTCGGGTTGGGGAGGAGGCTGGGGCAGGGGGCCCTCCTGAGGCCCCTCCAGAAGCCCTGAGCTCAGAAATGAGTGAGCTGGGGGCAAGGTTGGAGGAAAAACGCCGAGCTATTGAGGCTCAGAAACGGCGCATTGAGGCCATCTTTGCCAAGCACCGGCAGCGGCTGGGCAAGAGTGCCTTCCTGCAGGTGCAGAGGCGAGAGGCTGGCGGTGAGAGTGATGGGGACGGTGTTGATGGGGACGATGGCTCTGGTGCGCAAGTGGCCGAAGGCACCCCAGGCTCAGGGCCCGGGGAGAGGCCAGCCGGAGAGGGCCGTGGAGAGCCTTCTGAAAGGCCCAAGATGGTGACCTTTTCCCCAGAGGTGGGGTCTGGCCGGCTTTCAGATGAGGGCCTGGGGGACTATAACCGGGCGGTCAGTAAGCTGAGCGCGGCCCTGAGCTCTTTGCAGCGGGATATGCAGCGGCTCACAGACCAGCAGCAACGGCTTCTGCGGGAGCCCGAGCACCCTGGGCCTGGCCCACCTGCCGCTGCTTGGATCATTCCTGGTCCTGCTGGGCCCCGGGCTCCCTCCCCAGCACCTGCTCGTCGTGCCCCACCCCCTCGATCACCCCAGCCACCACCACGCCGAGCCTCTGTCCCTGCTTCGACCCCAGCTCCCCGTAGCCCCAAACATGCCCGGCCCGCAGAGCTGCGGCTGGCACCCTTGACTCGGGTACTGACTCCGCCGCACGATGTGGACACCCTTCCCCACCTGCGCAAGTTTTCACCATCCCAGGTGCCCGTCCAGACCCGTTCATCCATCCTTTTTGATGAGGATCAGCCTGGCCCTGGCTCTGGCCCTTCAAAGCCGGAGCCTGAGCCTGGACCCAAGCCAGGAGAGGTACCTGCTGAGCCCCTAGGAGGGGCTGCCACCCCATCTGGCCGGCCAGGGCTCATTGAGATCCCACTGGGGAGCCTGGACAGTGACGGGGATGGGAGCCCCCCTGGAGGGGAAGACTCTCTGGAGGAGGCTGTGAATGGAGAGCCGCGGACTGGCCTGGGTTTCTTCTATAAGGTTAGATGGAGGGGAGCTCAGGGGATGGTGCCTGGACCAGGGTAAGAGCAGTTGGGAAGATGGATGCATGTTTTCTGCAGGATGAAGAGAAGCCAGAAGATGAGATGGCACAGAAACGGGCTAGCCTGCTAGAGCGGCAGCAGCGGCGAGCCGATGAGGCACGGAGACGGAAACAGTGGCTAGAGGTGGAGAAGGAGCAGAAGAAGGAGGAAGCTGCCCGGTGAGCCTTGATGGGGTCACTCCTCCATCTCCTAGCGCTGCTCTGGAGAGGAATCTGCCCTGGGCATCGGGCTGCAGGGAACCTAGGCAGTTCCCTGACTTTGCCACTTGTCATTTCTCCGATTCCTGAGCCCCCACTTGAGGACTCATTTTTGCCTGCTGGGCCCTGTCTGAGCTTGACTGGGTCCTTAGGCTCAGAAGTCTGCTGCCATCAGTCCCTCGTGTCCCTTCTCCATTTTTATGCCCTTTTACATCTCTTGTTTATTTCTAGAATCTGTCTTCCCATCTTCTGGACCCTATAAGTCCATTTTCCAGGGCTTATTCAAAAAAAAAATCAGTATACAGTTTCAGAAATAACATATCCAGGAGAAGGGGCTAGATGTATACACTAAAGAAATCTGCCCAGTCTCATGAGGTGAGGTGACTTTAAACTTTCTAAGCTATTCTGTGTAGCCAGGTTCCAATGCCTAGTTTGGCATCTCATAATTTGCCCTTGCCTGGAGTATCTGACTCCCATGGAGGCAGGGAGCCCAACTGTGAACCCTCATCTCTCAAAGAGTTGTAAGAGCCCTCGATTTGGAGTCTTGGGACCTGGATTCAAATCCTGGTTCTGATTCTTAATTGCCTGTGGGACCTTGGGTGAATCACAATTATTGCGAGCCTCAGGTTTCTTGTATGTAAAATGGCTGAGTTGGACTAAGAGAGAGGAAAAACTTCCTAAATAGTGGTACTACTCTAAAGTGTGACTGGATTCCTCTTGCTTGCCATTAGTTTCCAAGCAGAGTTGAGATGACCACTTTTAAGCTGCGTTGTGGAGCTATCCTTGTTCATGGGGGACAGCTGAGTGGCTCACTGCTGGTCCCAGAATCAGAAAGACCTGAGCTCACAACCAACCTCCAATAATGCGGTAACTGTGTGACCCTGGACAAGTCACTTGTCCTTTGTCTGCCTGTTTCCTCACCTATAAAATGGGAGTGATAACAGGGTGGTTGTGAAGATCAATGAGATGGTTGTAAAGTGGTTAGCACAGTGCCTGGCACATACTAAGTGCTATATAAATGCTAGTTATTATTACTATTGGCTATTATTATAAGCTAGATAAATGGGCCCTGAGGTCCTTTCCTGCTATATGACTGACCTGTAAGACTCCTCTTGGCTTTAATCTTATGATCCTTTGATCATCCCCAGACTCTGTCAAATCTGTTGGGGGATTGGCCTTTCTGGGGAGCACTGGGTCAAGCTCATTGGCCCATTCTACACATTTGTAGCTCCCTTGTAGCCAATCTGGAAGCCTCTTCATGGTCTGGTGGGTTTAGGAGTGCTTTGCCCACACTCCTACCTAATTTTAGACCCTCTGCTCCTCAAAGGGCCATAGATGGATTAGATTTCTTGGGTCACCCTTCCCAAATCAGAATAATTTAGTTTGACACACACACTGGCCACTTCCAAAGCTCACCAAAGACAGGTCAGTTCTCTATGCTTGCCTCTTATTTCCTGCTCTGGACCTCTTTATGTTCTCCCTCAGGTTGGCCCAGGAGGAGAGGGTCCGAGTTGGGGCCGGGGCCAGCCTGGAAGAGGAGGGCCCAGCCCGGAGAGGGGACTTTACCCGACAAGAATATGAGAGGCGGGCACAGCTAAAGTTGATGGATGACCTGGACAAAGTACTACGACCTCGAGGGGCAGGGGGTGGGCCTGGAAGAGGGGGTGCCCGTCGGCCCCCTCGACCTCGATCTGGCTGCTGTGATGACTCGGCTCTAGGCCGTAGTCCCCGAGGTCTCTTGGGTAAGGGGGAGCATGGTAGAGCTGGTGATGGTGGAGGGGGGAGTTGCCAAGGGAAGAAAACAGGACTGAGGATTATATTTTCTATTTCTCCCTACCAGGGTCCCGGCTTAGCAAAGTTTACTCCCAGTCCACCCTGTCCCTTTCTACTGTGGCCAATGATTCTTCCAACAACCTTGGGGTAAAAAGGCCCACATCCAGGTAAACTTACACCCCTACCCGCTCACCTCCCCAACCTGTCTGTGTGTCGGTGTGTCTGGTTGTCAGTGCGTATGCTTCAAGTGTGACTGTGTATCTCAGTGGGCAGGTGGTCTGCTCACTGGTTGGGTTAGCTTAGAACTTCCTCACAGATGCCATCCTTATGGACAAAAGAGTTCCATTTTGGGCAAGCTAAACTCATGCTGAAGTTTGGGGTTTTTTAAAAAATCAGTTATTCTCACACCAGACCTGTGTACCACTACAATTGGGGCAAACTTGCAAAATTCTAGAATGGGTTATTAAAGGGATGGTTTATGAGCATTTAAAAACAGAAGCAGGGATCACTAGGAATCAGCATGGGCTCATCGAGAACAAACCCTGCTAGAGGACCTCCCTCCCCTGTTTCCTTTGACAAGATTGGTAGATCAGGAAAATGTAAGTGCTGTATTGTGCTCGTATTTCAGCAAACTATTTGACAAAATTTCATGCCATTCTTCAGGACAAAATGGAAACATTGGGTTGGATAATAGTACAGTTAACACTGTTCACAATTGTTGAATTTCCACGTGCAAAGGTAGTGATTAATGTGTTGATGTCAACTTGGGGGGCTTACAAGAAATGGGGACATATGCACATACTCTTGGCATCCCTGTTGTCTGGCACCAAGTAGGCAATTAATGAATGTTTGGTTGAATTGATGAATGTACTTTTCAAGGATCATTTGAAGAAGGTAGGGGTGTTTAGCCTCCAGAAAAGAAAACATGGTGGGGAAAGGTGATGGTCCTCAAGGGACATCAGAGGGTAGAATTACAAGCAAAGGGTGAAAGTTGCTGAGAGTCAGATTTAGGTTTAATGTAAGTAAGGACTTCTTAACTGTTCAAAGGACTTCTAGATTACAAGAGGTCTTTAGGCAAAGGCTGAGTGAACACTGGTTGAGAATGCAATAGAGTTTATCCATCAAGTAGCAGTTGAAGAAGATGATCTCTAGGGTTCCTTCTAAATCTGAGATTCTGTGGATCGAGGAGATGAGAGAAGGGACCATGTGCCAGGATCCCTAGGAGTAAGAGGCATCTGGAAGACTTCCTTTCCCCACTGAAGTGACATCCCTTTTTCTTCAGGGCCCCTTCTCCATCAGGCCTGATGTCTCCCAGTCGCCTCTTGGGTAACCGAGATCGGGACTGGGAAAATGGGAGTACTGCCTCATCACCAGCCTCTGTCCCAGAGTACACGGGTAAGGCCTTGACTGAGGATGGATAGAGACAGGATGGTGGCAAGGATGGGGGGCCCATGGGGCAGGTTAGGAGCCTCTAGCCCGACACCCAGCATAGGGTATAGTGGGAAGAACCACTGGACCCCAGAATCAGGAGACCTGGGTTTGAATCCTGATTCAGACACTTCTCTGACCTCAGTTTATTCATGTGGAGAATGAGGGTAAGGATACTGTCAGGTAGTCACACCACTTGCCACCCAGCACTGTTGTGCTGGCATTTTACAAAGGCGAGATTGAGCTGCTCACATCCTTTTCCTGATTCTGACTTCCTTCTCCCCCTCACGCCCCAGGCCCCAAGCTGTACAAGGAACCCAGCGCCAAGTCCAACAAGTACATCATCCACAATGCCTTGGCCCACTGTTGCCTTGCTGGCAAGGTCAATGAATCTCATAAGAACCGCATCCTGGAGGTGAGGCCAGGCCTGGGCCCGCGGCATCCCTGTAGAAATCTCCATCCAGTCTGCTCGAAGCCCACCACCCCTCTTCTCCCTCAACCCATTCCTCTTCCCAAGGTTCCAATTCTCTTGTTTATCAGGCTCCAATATCCCCGATGCCTCCCTCCCCTCTCCCCACCCCACCCCACCAGCCTTGTCCTAACACCTTATCCTGATCGCAGGAAATTGAGAAGAGCAAAGCCAACCACTTCCTGATCCTCTTCCGGGACTCAAGCTGCCAGTTTCGGGCACTATACACATTCTCCGGGGAGACGGAAGAGATGTCACGCTTGGCTGGCTATGGCCCCCGCACCATCACCAAGTCCATGGTAGAGGGGATCTACAAATACAACTCAGACCGGAAGCGCTTCACACAGATTCCCGCCAAGACCATGTCCATGAGTGTGGATGCCATCACCATCCAGGGCCACTTCTGGCAGACCAAGAAGCCCAGTACCCCAAAGAAGCCCAGCACCCCTAAATAGGCCAGACATTTCCTGCCTAGCACTCTTAAGGCCTGGACTCTGCCCCAGAGCCAGCCAGGGGCCTTCTGTCCCCAAGGGCGACTCTAGAGGGATGGTGGAGGCCCTCTGCCGGGGTGAGAGGGGGTGCTTGTACCACCCTATCCCAGCCTGGGCTTTTCTCCACTCCCTGGTTAGGAGACTGAGGGCAGGAAGGGGGTTTCAGCTCTTGTCCTGGCCCCCTCCTCAGTCCCCTCCCCATCTGCATGTTTCTTCTATCCCAGCGCCTCTTGGAGGCAATGTCTCTGTTCCCTACTCCCCCACCCCACCCCACCCCAGCCCAGCCACCTCTTGCCTGGACAGATTTTGGTCCCCAGTGTTGGGGGGCTCCCGATCTTCAAGCCTTTGGAAAGCCAGTTTATAAATTTGGGCCTGAGCCAGGGTTGGATTCCAAAGGGGCCTGGACCTGCATTCAACCTTTTTTTTTTTGGAGGGGGTGTTGGGGGTTGCTTTCCTTACTCCCCATGCCTCTAGGTCTCTTCCCTAGAAGATTCTGGAGGGATTCCCTTCATCTATGTGTCGTGTCCTGCTGTGGGGAGGGGGAAGCTGGGAGCTTCAGGGACTCAGGGCTCAGCTCAACAACCCCCTACCCCGTCTGTCTCCCCACCTTGAATAAAATAATTTAAAGAGACGTTCTTTACCCCTTCCTCTAGAAGGGGGTGGTTGGAAGCTGAGGGAGTGCAGGCTCAGGGCTCCCAAGCTCAGAGAGCATCCAGACCAGTCTCTAAACAGGAATCCCTCTGTCCCCCACACTAAGACCCCCAACTATGGGGAACCTCCAGTATTTCACAGTAGCTTATTACTAATTTTTTCCCTATATTGAGCCAGAATTTCCTTTCCTTGTTTCTCCCAGCTCTTCCTTCTGAGGCCAATCAAAGCGAACAGGAGTCTTGAAGTGACAGCCCTTGCAGTCCTTCAAGAGAACTGTCATGATCCTTCCCAAGTCAGTGTTTTCCAAGCCAAAGGTCCCCAGTTCCTTCCAGGGTTTCTTTGAATCCTCTGCACTTCATCAGTATCCATCCTAAAACGCGCTCATAGCTGTGTTCCCGAGGGCAGTGGCCCCACTCATCTCACTGGTCCTCTCTTAACACAGCCTTTCCCTTGGCTTTTTCTGTCTCGGGTCCCAACTCACATTGATCTTGCAGTCCCCTAAAGCTCCCAGATCTTCTTCACACCAGCTCTCATCAAGCATCACCTCTCCTGTCCTGTTTCTGCCATTGATTTTTTGAACCCAGAGGACTTTATTCTTACTCAATTTTTATCTAATTAGATCCCATCCATTGTAGCCTGTTAGGTTATTTTTAGGTCCTGTCAGCTAATGTGTTAGCTGTCTCTCTGTCCTTGAATTGGCCTTAGCTGGGACACTTCCTGCCCACCCCTCTTCCCTCTAGCCGAATATCTGCACAGTAAGATAGCAATTACCCATTGATAGGTGATAGAGTGTGAAGGCCTCTAAGGAGAGGGGTTTGGCTATCCAAGAAATGCTTTCTGGAGAAGGTTGGGCAGAATAAGAAAATATCTTGAGCCAAGCAGGGAACTAGCATGAGAATGAGGACAGAGAAAGTGACTCGACGTAGGCTACAGTTCAAAGAGCCTTGAATGCCAGCCTGGTCAGAACCTAATCTTGTAGGCCATGGAAAACCTAGGAGAGATGACCAGAACTGGGGGTGCTTATTACGCAGGAAGGATTGGAAAGGGGCAATTCTGGAGGACAGTTAAGAGATTATTACAATAGGCCAGAGGAGGAAATGAAACCTGGCTTGGAGTGGAGTCAGCTTGGGCTGACCCCTGGGTGGTTATGGGCAGGTGAAGCTCCTGGCCTAGCCTTCAAAGGAGGCCCCATTTTTTTGTGGGGCAGATGGTCTGAGTTTACCCTACAGAGGGCTCAAGTACACGGTGTGCTCAGGCACTGGCCCAGGGGGAGTGTTGGGGGGGGAGGGGGATTGGTCTGCTTCCTGCTCCCCAGGGCTCTGGGCCAGGAACCGGCTCTACAAGGTGGGGGGTTGGGCCGTGTACTTTGGCCACCGTTCTGCTACGTAGACCAATCCCAGCTGGGAGGAGGTGGGCCTGGGCCCTGGGCCAGCGGGCACTGCCACCAGCAGGGTGGTAACTCCAGGCATGCCCAGCCAGGCAGGTGGCTGTGTCACAAGGACCCCTCCCCAGAAAGCAAGAACTGGGTGTGTTCACACGTGTTTGCATACAGCAGGGCGGCTGACAGAAATACAAACGTGAAGAATTTATTGTGGGTGATCGGGATCAGTCGTCTCTCAGGCTCCCAAAGACGGTGGCTGGCACGCTCTGCTGCTCCAGCGGCACCTCTGGGGAAGGAAGGGGGGGAAGGTGAGACTCGGTCGTTCCCGGTGACTGGGCCCCGTGTGCTGGCCGGCCCCCTCCCCTCCGCCGCTCACCATTGGGCTGTAGCCCCTCTTCTTCCTCCTCGTCCTCCTCCTCCCCAATCTCAATCTCCTCAGGGTTGGCCCGCTGGGCCAGTTCGGCCAGCTCGGTGCGGGAGGCGTCGCTCCTGGGGAAACGGGAAGCTGGCTGTCAGTTCCTCACCCCACCCTGACATTCCGCCCTGGCCCGACCCCGCCCACCTTCCCAGACTCCAGGTGCCCCAGTGCCCACCTGACAAAGAGGATCTTGCCCTTCGAGGGCTGGTCCCGTTCTGCCTCTGCCGCCAGCTGTTCTGCGCGATGCTCCAGCAGTTTCATGTCATCCATCCCGCTCTGTCCAGGGGCAAGGTCAGACACTAGGGCCAAGGGGAGAGAAGGGAGTCAGGCCCTGGGGAGGGGACTGGCGTGGATGGTGAACAGCAGCCGTGGAATCTGCGGGCTGGACTCACCGGTGCCGGTGGCATTGCTGTACACCTTCAGCATCTGGGAGGCCATGAAGTTGACTTGTGTGTTGTACGTGGCCTGCACGCTGCGCCGGATCCGAAGCATCTCACGGATGGTGTCTTCATTCCCGTGGCGGATCTCAAAGTCCTTCCACGTCTGCCAGAACGTTCCTGTCGTCTGGGGGTCGGCAAAGGGGAGATGGTCAGGGAGACCTCTTTATACCCCAGGATGCTTGTGCTGTCCCCAATGTCAGATGAACCTTGGGCCACATACCCGAGGATCGCAGATCTGGGAGCAGAAGCTATAGATAGCTCGGGCCCGGTCAATCTCCCCCAGTTTACATTCCATGTCAGCAAAACGAAGACACATTTCTCGTGCATGCTCATCCGACAGCACCTGAAACCCAGAGAAGAGAGTGGAGTCTGAAGGGGCTACTGAGATACTTGTTCCAACCCGACCCTGTGCCCCACAGCTCCCCTTGCAAGGCAGACTACAGCCTTCGGTCACTCTCATGTCCTCCCACAACGAGCCCCCCCCGCCTTCGACCTCCTCCCCAAATGGCAGCCAGAGCTGTTTCTTCCTGCCAAGGATGCCAGCTATGCCTTGTACAGCCTGAGCCAGCTCCCCACGGGGGGCTGGGCTGAGCACAGACTGGACAAGGCCCAGTTAGCATGCCATTGGGAAGTAAAAGGGAAGTCTCTCACCCTGAGTTTTAGTGCTTTTAACAACCTCACCATTCCACCTCCACCTCTTGGAGGTGTGCACATCCCCTAAAACCTGTGGCTACACTGGGTGGGGCCTGAGCAACAGGACACTGGTCAATGTTTGGCTACTGGGCTGGGCAGAAAGGAAAGGGTGGGCTCACAGGACTGATCAGTCTCTGCAGTGTGAGCCGAGGAAAGAGCAGCATCATGGAATCCTAGGATTCGGACCTGGATGACAGCTTCAAAATGATGTGGTGCAAGCCTCTCATTCTGTAGATGGGGAAACCGAGCAAGCAGAGAGGGGATGGAGGGGACCTGATAGAGAGGCCCCAGGAAAGGAAACCAAGGACGATGGACGAGGTGTGGCCTCAGTCTTCCTTCCATGGCTCCCCCGCTCCCTGACTTTGCTCTCTCCTGAATCTGTGCCCTATCCCCCCCTGCCTGACCCCCAACTCCACCCTCCAGCCCTTGCCCGATCTGGCACCTCAATGGCTTTCTGGTAGATGCTGCGGGTGTGGGTGACGCCATAGATCTCGGCGGCGCGTTTGATGTAGATGTTGAACATTTCATGTTGCTGGGAGGGCTCCACGGCACGGGTGGCACGCTCATACACAGCCATGGCATGGCGGGCCAGCCCCCACTCTTCCTCCAGCCGGGCATATAACAGGTAGAGAGCTGGGGGTGGGGGAGGACTGCTCAGAAAACACTCCCGCTGACCCCACCCAGAATCTTTCTATTCCCACAAACCTACACCGCCCCCCATCTGCGTCCTGGATTCCCTTCATGTGGAAGCCCTCCCCCAGTCCTGAGGGCCTCTCTCACTTTTGGCATATTTGGGGGGACAGCCATCCAGTGCCTGCTCGAACAGGTCCCGGGCCCGCTCCAGCTTGCGGCCTCCATAACGAGCAATAAACTTGGTCAGGTATGTGCTCCAGATGTCTGACACATTGGGCCACTTAAACAGTGAGATGCCCCGCTCGTAGGCCTAGAAGGGAAGGGGAGATGTGGAGCTTGCCTCCAGAACATGCCGGCACACACGACAGAAGCCTGTGGACTGAATGCCTTTGCCCAGGACTATTCCAGTTTTCTTTGCTTGCCTGAGCGAGCAAAGAGAGGTGCAGGGAGACGCCTGCCTGGGTCACCAAAGCACTAAGGGTTAGTTGAGGGCCTGCATCCAAATTCTGTGCTCACTATACATCAGCATTCTCACCTGTAAAGGGGCACTACAGTCCTTCTCCTACCTCTCTCACGCAATCTCAGAAACCTTCAAGTCCATATAGCCTAAGTTGTACCTGAACAAAGACATCCCCTCTGATACACCTGACTCAACGATACCTTGCCTCTCCTTGAAGACCTCTGGGCAGGAAGACCACTAAGGAAGCCCCTCCTGCACAGCTCTAATTGCTAAGGAATTTGTCCTTCTGTCAGGCCTTCATCTGCCTCTCTGTACCTCCCCCACCGCTCCCCATTCTGCCTCTGGGACCAAAGAGAACACATCTAATCTGTTCTCCACGTGACAGGCCTCACATGTAGATTGCTATCACATCCCCTGAGGAATTCTCCAGGCTGGTGACACATCCCAAATTCTGCCCTCCACTTCCTTCATCGGTGTGTCTCTACAGCCTAGCGCTGTGCCTGGCCCATTGGAAGCACTGAACACATTGCTTCTTGAACTGAAGTGACTGTGGCATGACCAGGAGGTTACCCCCCCCCCCCATCCCGGCCTCTTTCATGGAAGGAAAGCCCTTTGCAAACTGGTATAGAAATGGAAGCTATCCACCCCCCCCCCCCGCCCCAGCCCATGAACCTTCCAAGGGGCCCACCTTGAAGCTCTCCTCAAAGTAGCTGTGCTCCTCCAGGAACATGGCATAATTGATGACAATCTGGGGGGTGGCGATGCGTAGGTCCAAGATCCGCTCGTACACGGCCTTGGTGGACTGCAGACAGGAACGTGACCGTGGTTAAAGATCACCGGGGTGCATGGGATTGGGGGGGGGGTGGCGGCAGCACCATCTCTCCTAACTCAGCCTCAACTCACTGTCTGGACCCCTCCTCTGCACCTCTGCTCTTCCTATTTAGGGACACAATAG